GGGTAAGTGAGATCAAATCAGGCGCATTGTATTCCACATAATATAAAATCTTTTATAATATTGCTTGGTGGCCATGTCATCTCTTTAACAGCTAGCAAATGCGATAGCCTACCTTCCTCCCCCCGTCACCCTCCATGTTGGTGATCAGTCCTGGAAGAAGGTGTTTGTTTTTGTTTTGATCATCTACTGTGGTTTAAGCCTATGTTCCTGCAGGTTAAAAATATACAGAGGAAACTAATAAAAGATAATCAGTGTGGCTAGTTCGACAGACTATTTGGTTATCTAATATAAAGCAAGAATATAGAATAACTTTGACAATGGAAAACTCTTCTCTTCAGTCTGTCTACCTGTATTTTGTCCCTTTGTACTCAAACTATGTTAGGTAAAGAGGAGGATTTTGTGGATAGTGTAGATAGTTATGGAGTAGATGCAATAAAACACTAGCAAATAGAAAAATAATTGCCTTTTGATAAGGGTTATTTCAGCAAGAGAGAATGGGAATGGAATGCTGCTGCTGTGTTTTAAAGTTTAGTTTCAAAAGCTTAAACCTTATGAAATCTGTCTAATTTTGAACTTGTACCAAGGAATTAAATTATACAGGTTTCATCAGAATCTGTTCTTTGCTCCCTTGACTTTTTGTTGAGTGTTAAAACCAATTTTTTGACAGTTTTGGATAGGAATGTCGGGGTTTGTGTTGATACTTCCATATCTATTGGTCATATCACTATTCCCAACTTTCAGTGTGGACAAAATCAAGTAATGTCATGAATCCACTTAGACACATTTTTTCACTTTGTGAAACTTCAGTGATGAAACATCCAAAATTCACAAAACGATGGGCAATATATTATAGACCAGAACAAAGTTCTCATTTCTGCTGTCCAGATGGGTTCAGACAAATAGAAAACTCTAAACTCAATAGGTATAAAATTATATTAACTGAAACTACTAAAAAGGTGTAACAAAAATCAAAGTGAAACTCAGCTTGACAGCCATATATAGCAAACAGCAATCAACTGAAAGGTTTTGACAAAAATTGCATGAAGCATACAGCAAAGTGATGCAAAAGGCACCGAAAATACTGCTCTGTATTTCAAAGTATCCTGCAAAATTTTAAAAACTCTATGTATAAAAATATAGATCTATAGAGATGTGTTTTATGTAGACATAGGTACAGATGTATTAAATGTTGCTGACCAGATACCTATAATACAGCATTTATTAGTAGCATTCTGTGAAGTGTTTTTGTTTGTTTCTTTGTTTGTTTTTTTTACTGATAATTGATATTTTCATCTACTGCCTCAAGGGGACAGAAATCCCCAACATCAGCAGCAAGCTCATGGATCTCAATATCCTCTGATGCTGGCTCTGAGGTTGGTAGCACTGGTGTTGCAAGATCAATAAAATAGCCAGTAGACTCCTCCCCTTTTATGCACAGATCCAGTCATCATTGAAAGAGACTTTTTTGCATTTTCAGCCTCTTTTATACTTTTTACCTTTAAAGGTAATGGGGATGAAAGTCCTTGCTGATGCAAGATGCTTCAAAATTCTGGGATAGTGACTTCAGGCATAGCCCTCAGTTGGGGTGGTGCCTAAATGGCAATAAACCAGGCGGCACTATGAATCAGAGACGCAGCTCCGAGCCACAGTTCTTTCTCTACTCCCTCTTTGCTTCCTGGGACAGTAATTTCCTGCCAGCCTACAATAATAGATTACTGGCTCTCACTGGCTCAACTACTTTGGTCAAGGCTATGCTTGTTTTTCGCCCCACCTTGCCAATCTGTTTTGAGGAGGGAGAAAATAGTCAAGTAACCATACTTGCTTCTATGCGTCTGCATTGTTGTGCAGGGATGTGAAAGGAGTTCTTACTCCCCCTTATTCCTGTGTGAGTGTTTTTAATCCAAGTCACAGCCTAGCTGTATAATGAAGTATCTGTTAGTTCTTCTGAAGCTCTGCAGTAATTTGAAGGGATTCATTACGCACACCTGCTGATTATTTTATTGTATGGTTCATTTATTTGTTGTACCAGGAATAAAACGGAGGCCCGGCTTCCCTGAATCACAAGAGTAGTACCACTGAAGTTGACAGGACTACTCGTGTGGATATGGGTTGCGGGATTGGTTTCTGCTAAAATTAAGCCTTTAACGTATCATGGATTTTTGAGCGGGGGAGGGGATATTATTATTTCTAATGTTGTTGTTGTTGTTGACATGTTATGAAAACATATTTGAGACATATAAATTAATAGATTTATTGGGGACTCTGTTAAGGATAACAAATTGTTTTCTCCAAATTAGACAGGATCGTTTTAGAGTTTTTTCCCAAGGTGTGTAGAAATCTCGACTGACACATTTTGAGAAGCAGTGAGCATAGAAAACAGAATGAGCCACTTTCCCTTAAGATTTTTTTAATCATAAGAATACATGTTTTTCAGTTTTTGAAGATCACTTCATTATTCAAGAAAGGTGCCAGTTTGACATTAGTGGAGATTGAAGTAATCTACCATGAGAACAGGCAATGATGCCCACTGGCCCTGCCATTGCACCTCTCTTCTGCCCTGTAACATCTCTAGAGATGAGAAGTTTCCATGCTCATTCAGCCCTTGGCTCCTCTCTTGAGGCTGCCAGTGGAGGTGCAGTTGGTGCCAGTTGTTTTTGTGAAGTGGACACCATTCTGCTAGGATCTAGTCCAGGGGTGGGCAAACATTTTGGCCCGAGGGCCACATCTGGGTGAGGAAATTGCATTCAGGGCCATGAATGTAGGGATGGGGCAGGGGGTTGGGGTGTGGGAATGGCTGCGATATGCAGGAAGGGGCTCAGGGCTGGTGGTTGGGGTGCAGGAGGTGTGCAGGG